TACACGCCATGTACGAAGGGGCGGTTCGGGAGGAGGACAAAATCCCAGCCTCTAGATTAAGGTTATCTGCACACAGTCTGGCTATCGAGACAGGCAGATGGGCGAAAAAGCCACGCGAACAAAGACTCTGTGAGTGCGGCAACATACAAACGAAGAAACACGCAATACATGTATGTGATTGTATTTATACGGCTGATTGCCGCAACAAATTCCCTACAATAGACTTTACAAACTTAGAAAGGGTTTTCAATGGCCCTGTTAATGACGTATGCAGATGTATAAGAATGTGTTTAACTAAATATTAAAGAAAAACAAAAGAAAGGTCAAACCCGTATACAACAAAAGCTTTGCCCGCGCAATGTAATTCGTTTTGCTTATATGGGAATAAAATTAACTAACTAACTAACTATCGAGACGCCCCCATTGTAGCCCGTACAGATTCAGATTCTTTATTGACAAACACCTTCACATGCAAGGTACAATAAATAACAGCACAACTAACATTAAACGTTATAGAGCTAAAATACATGTAAATAAATAAATAAATATGAATCTCACTGTGATGTCTTAACAAATATGATTGGGGTATCTGCACCCTCCTCCTTCTACATCTCCTACACAAAAACATGCCCCTCAGCGGAGAACCCATGCAGTCTCAGCAACGATTTATATCAGTTAGGTGATGAATTCCGCATACCATCATAAGTACTGTACTGAAAGCAGTCAATGTTGTGCAAGGGAACCCGGAAGTTACTGCGTTTTTAGAATAGTTCCATTTAAATTCGTTTAAAATTACATCAAGTCAAGCACGTACTGTAATTACTTCACCACTTATTTATTTTCTAGCAGTTTTGTGCTTGTTTTGGAACCTTTATGACCAGCCCCATGATTCATTTTATTTGCATACTTTGAGTATATGTATATAATTTCATTCAGGAGATGGGGTGGAACCAATCAGATAATGTACAATTTCCTGTTGGGTTCTAATTGTTTTTAACACGACTACCAGTAGTAATAAACACAAAGATTTAGATGAGGGGTGAGTTTTCTGTGCAATTGAAAGCTTTGTTTTAGTTTTAAGTTTTTAATTTTAAATAAACAACTGATATTTGAATGCAATATGTGACGGATCCTTTCCTAAGCCTTCACTAAAATAAATTTGGAAGCTAAGTCATACAGTGTAATGTTGAAGCATTTAATTTTATACAATACAGGTACATGAAGTAATTTAAGTACGTATATGCACATGTGCTGCGTGTGTACTCATCACTCAGTTTTATTATGTACCACATTTCATTATCACGAATACTGAATAGTATTGAGTCACCTTGCTATACCCGAAAAACTGTTTTGAGTCATCATGTACACGGTGTATGATATTTTCCTGTTTTACATGTATTTGTCAGCAGTCCTTTATATCAGCCTCAGTAATTGGGATGTCACATGTGATGGAGAATATATATTTGTACTGTAATATTGATACTTTAGGAACTTGTACAGGTGTCACATATACTTACAGTTTGATATACTAGTAAATTGGACTTTCTTAAATTGCAAAATACCTGTACATGTATGACTAATTTTGACAGTACTTACTACATGTATATGCCTACATGCATGTTGATTAAGAGCTACAGTTTTGAGCATTTCGAAATTTCGCAATTGTAATTTAAGTTGTTGTTCTACAGAATAAGGTATTGCATGGTCATATGCCTCCTGAGTGTGAATGATACTGTAATTTTGTGAAATTGAATCAGTGAAAACATTTGTGTAATTAATTATAAAATAGTTTTAAAATTCTGATCAATTTCGTTGCAGTTCTAAGAGTTGAAAATGGTGAAGGTCCAGTTGTTTCAGATCAACTTCAGTAATCCCAGCAAGGTGTTCCTGGCTGGACAAGTAGTCAGTGGTCAAGTGGTGCTACAGTTAAGGGAACCTACAAAACTCAATGGTAAGTACTGTATACTGTATATTATAAAGTTGTATACTCTGTGGGAAATTTGTGCCCTTACTAATGTGGTGTTACCGTATTATAACATTAAGTAAATGGTTTTAACACATTCTCACATTTGAATGACTAGGAGGTCCACTACATTTTGAATTTAATCCCATCAGTCAGTCACATATTGCTAGAAAGAAAAGGTTGTATCATTGATGAAATTATAATTTCAATATTCCGTGTGATATTTTGAATTTATTTTTAACTTGATATTATATTAACCAACAATCTTACAAACAGATATAGTATCCATTATTTACAGTGTATTGATCATTGCCCTACATGTAAAACACCAAATCATACTGTGAAATGTCGTTCCAGCAATAAAACTCCATTTGCAAGGCAAAGGCAAGGTCCACTGGAGAGTGACCAAAGGTTCTGGAAACAACAGGCGGACTGTCCACTACAGAGCAGAAGAGGTATACTTTGACCAGATAGTCTTACTGTATGGAAACAACCAAGGTAGATATTGCGCAACAAAGTGCCATTTATATGGTTTCCCATTTATCTCAATGATTGATATCTGGGGTAGCACTAACACTCACCAATTTAGCCAAATGCTAAAACTAACTTAAATTGGCTAAAGAAAAGGGGATTGATTTTACATGTTTTAGCCAAATTATAACCATTTTGATAACAAATTGACAAAAATGTGGTGATTTGGCTAAGTGAAAAAAATTTCTAGCGCTACCCCAGGATATCATGATTTTTTTTTTTCTATAAGATAATCCATAGTTCCTAGGATTTCTATATAGTAATGGTTTAGTGGTAATAATCACTTACTTTGGAGCAAATTATATATGTCAGGTCTGCCATCATTAAAATACCTATGGTCATTCAGCTCTTTCTTAAGTAATTTGTCCCAAAGAAAGTGAAAATTATCTCCAAGATGTTAGTCAATATGATCTGTTTGTTTTTCTGCACAGCCCAGGCAGTTACCCACCCAGGAGGGCGCCATGAGTACCCCTTTCACTTCCAGATGAGAGCCAATCTGCCATCTTCTTTCGAGGGAGAGCATGGCTATGTGCGGTATTTTTGTAAAGCCTTCATGGATAGACCGTGGAAATACAACCACGAGTCCAAGCATGCATTTACAGTGATCAACACTCTGGATTTAAATAATGAACCTGCCTTGATGGTACGTATTGGGAGACATATACTGACATTGTAACTGGACATTGGAATATGTTTTGTGTTCCACGTGACTTAGGCTCATTCCCATCGACACTAACTCAACCATATATAACTAATCAATCATCAGACAGACAGATAGGGGCCAGAACTTTCCCAGAACCTGGAATATTATTGGCATCAACATCATATGACAGACTTATTAAAATGCTTTCACAAATTTCAAGCAGGGGCATAATTTTTTAATGCATGTAATATCATTTCAGAATCCCATTCAGGGTAGTCAGTCATCAGAAGTGAGCTGTTTGTGTTGTGCTTCGGGAAATGTATCAGCGAGCATGAAAGTTGAAAGGCAGGGTTATGCACCTGGAGAAGAGATCAGAATCTGGGGCGAAGTGAGAAACAATAGTAATTCAAGTGTACAAAGAGTTGAGGCTACGCTGACCCAGGTAAGTGAGATGTCCAAGGTGAATGTCAGTGGTTATGGTACAGGCCCAAAGCCAGCAATTTCAAAAGGGGGGTTCTTTTTCTGAAAAAGTGGACCTTTTCCCGTAAAAACTTAATGTACCTAGATCAAATTTTACCCAGAGTGGACCTTTACCCAGCAAAAGGGGCAGTTCTTTCGAACCCCCTGAACACCCCCTGGCTACGGGTCTGTGGTAGGTGAGAGTGTGGCCAGCTTGTGTGGGTCACTCCTTCCTTTGGGAGATTTGTAGGTACTCCCTGTACTGATCATGACTGAAAGAAAGAAAGTCGGTGATCAATTGTGATTATTTTAAAACTGAATTAATTAAAAACTTATAATATAAACAATAATACTTATCTTATGCTAGCATATATATCTTTTTTTGCCAAATACTACAACTGTATATGCATGTGTAATTTAAATATTAAAAATGTGTTTAAAAAAAGACAGAAATGTCTGATTAGATTTAACTGATACTTACTGAATGTATGAAGAATGAGATATTTTACTGAAACAGAAAAATGCCAGAATGCCCATAAATGAATTGTAGAAAGATTCTCCATATCATTCTAATAAATGTAATTTACCTGTTTGTCGTCAAATTAACTAATTACTAATAATATGTAAATTCTAATATTGCTTATCTTTTCAGCATGTGACATTCTACGGTAAGTCAGATTCCATGTTTTCCTCTGGGCGGTTTAAAGAAAAGGAGGTGAAGCAAGTCGTGGCATCACATACAAAAGGACTGATCCCTGAACAGAATGTACAGGTATGGGATGGTGTCTGCATGAGAATTCCATCTGTGCCTCCATCGAGACTTCAGGGCTGCAATATCATCAACATCACATACCGGATCTGTGTAAGTTTTTTTTTTTTTTTTTTTTTTTTTTTTTTTTTTTTTTTTTCCCAAATCGGCTAGGTATTCAGAAAAATGAATGTTAACAGTTACCAGTGCTATTTGACATGTATGGTGGATGGGGTGTTTATGTTCTGATGTTTTACTTGTATGAAAAGATTTTCTGAAATTTACTTATTTGCCTCCCTCCCCCCCCCCCCCCCCAAAAAAAAAAAAGAGGGAGATTTACTCAAATTCTCTTAAATGCTTGCAAAACTTTTTAGAATTTTTAAATGTCACTTAAACCATTTGTTTCAGACAATTGCCTGTTATTTTATGTCAAAAGATGAGAGAGTACTTGTAAATTATTAGTGATAGCATTCTGGTTTTGATTGCATGTTGTGAAAATATGTTGCTTTCAATATGCTGGTTTGATAAAGTTTCAAATTTTTATCATTATAGTTTTATTATATTGTTCTTGTATAGCTGGTATACACCCTTCACAATATTACTTGTGGCAAAGTGTTGATTGGTACCATAAAAAGTATTTAGTGTACATTGTTTTTATTCACAGGTAAGGGTTGATGTGCCGTATGGCACTGACATCAAAATTGGGTCAGAGATTGTGGTTGGAACTGTTCCATTCCGTGCTCCCCCACCACCAGCATCAACATTGCCTCCTAGCTACACCCTGGCTCTCAATGCTCCACAGCCAGTTCCAAGTGCTCCTCCCATTACAACACAGCCAGGGGCCATAGCAAGTGCTCCGCCATTCTCAGGGTATGATGAAGGTGAGTATACTAAAAGAAATTAACATTAAATTTCTGTTTTTTTGTATCCTACAATAAATAGACTGGGATACTTTTTGTACCACGGTTTGAGAAAATGCACATTTCAGTAACATTTTTACCATTCTTATTGATTTAATGAAGATGATAGATATTTAGTCTTCAGTGTAAGATCCAGGATAATTTTAAAAGATATATATAAAAAAGAGCATCCCCAACTTTCTTTACATAAATTATAATGTTTACAACTAAAGTCATGCAAGCTTTTTAAAATGGGAGTCAAGTAGAAGAGTGTTTCCAAACTCCTGAAGGCATGTAATAAGATGAACAATTTCTTAAACCGTATATTATCATATTTTATCCTCAATTGTATTATATTGTATTGAAATTTTTCTGTAATATGTTGCACCTTATCAATGCAGCAATGCTGTATTTATTACAATAAACTAACTTGATATTTATCTAGTTAATTTATTTGATTACAGCTCCTCCACCATCTTACGAAGAGTGCGTGTTTGGCCGTGTCCATATAAAAGATGACCAAGACACTGACCACACCACTGGGCAGTTTGAGTTTGCCCCAGTGTACCCCACTTTCCGTAGTGTGTATAATAACGGCGCATCTACCTCTGCACAACCTTATGAACCACCCCCTGCGCCTCCCTCTGCGCCACCTGAAGCCCCCTCTGCACCACCACCACCTGATGATAATTGCATCTGAGCAGGTTTGAGGAAAAAAATCAGTTTAGAAGCAGACGGACAAGATTGAATCATTGATATGGAATTTTCTCAATGTTATTATCATGTGAGACCAAACACCAAATGAAAGTTATGTGTCTGTCAGTTGCATATAACAGTAATCAGCATCTGAATTTAGCCATAATAATATTTGATCATGTGTAATGATGATATGGCAACTGCATTGTAGCTGAAGGATAGTATGTTTATTCTGAAGTTTATTTATTATCATCATATAGGCAGTGCAAGTGTACCTGAACATTGTATACTTGTAGATTGATGATAATTGGCTTATGGTATTCCAACATCTTTATAGGTATGCCTCATTTTAAGACTGTAATGACAACAATAACTAGATAGTCTGGCAGGGACGTCTTGGGATCAAATAGTAAATTAATTGTAAAAATCTAATACTGTTATTATAAAAAAAACTTTAGTATGTGTAGTGCATGTATCATAAAATTTTATACTTGAATTCATTAATTAGGCAGTTGTTAGACACATGTTCACTCCATATCATATGATATGTACTACATTAACTAAGAGCACTGATAAGTGTATCCCTATATTGACTGAAAATGATCACCGAGTTACTTAAATAATTTAGAAGTCATAATGGCACTTTAACAAAATAATTGTGAACCAGTAAATAGTATATTTGAAGAACCCCATCAGCCCAGTATGCGTATTTAAGGCATATAAGACATGTTAGACTGTTATATGCCAAAAAAATTTATCTTCAATTTCATTGCTTTTACTTTAATCATCAAACAATACCATTTCCAGAAGTGTTGACAGAATATAAATAATTATCTGCAAATATGTTTCCTGGTTCTTAGAGATAAGATCAATCCAACTAGATCGACCTAACTCCCTGGGGGCTCAAGCTAAATAGCTGTCAGCCGAGCGGGCACGAAAGTTAATTACCCCCTTACAGCTTGTAGTAGGCAGGATGGACATTTAAGCCATACATTTATCTTACAGTAATCTAGTGAGACTCTCCACGCGGATAGATCAATCTAAAATCTATGGGAATGCCCCCTTAGTTTCTTATTTGAGCAGTAAAGATAGAAATTCTTAGAAATCAAAAACAGCTTCATTAAAAAATTTCCTGCAGTTTTGGATAGTTTATACCTCAGCGGTTATGGATATTTGCTTACTTATTTATTGCAGTATAAAGGTATAATACACATTGTATGCCTTATAAATAGTTGTAGCAGGAATATGGAGCAGAAGAGTGTTTGTACTGTATAGTATAAACATAATATATATATATATATATATATATATATATATATATATATATATATATATGAGTAATCTATAATGCAAAAAAAAAAGAAGGAAAAAAGGATCAGTTGGTTGTTGTGAATGAAAAACGTATTCCCTTGATGTGAAAATCAAATGGTATCTCAGGCTTTTTAAATGTTGCTTCATTCCATTTTAGGTTTGAGAATTGTAATAGAGTGGTTTGGTGTTGCAGAAAAAAAAAACTGCCATAGAGCACATTCAGAAGAGCGTACTAACAGTTCTGCAGATCAAATATGGTGACAAATTTAACAGCTTGCTGCTTAATCCACTAAATAGATTTCCCACGGGGATTATGCAACAAGCATTCAAGTGGTTTATTGGCCATATTTGATCTGCAGATCTGTAAGTTCGCTGTTCTGAATATGCTCATATAGTCTTTTGACTAGGATATCTGTTGACTTGAGTTGCAGCAAGGATGTGCAGCATCAGTTGGACAAATCTGCATTTGTTTATTTTATCATGTTTCCTGTACTATATATGATTTATACATGATGCATATTATTTTGATGTCTTTGCCAGATTTGTTGATATTTTTGGATGTGATGAAAGGATTTAAATGTGTACAGCTTTTATAACTATAGTTCAATTTTTCAATAAATCTTGATCTAGTCCTATTTACAAAAGGAAGCCCATTGTCTTCCTTGCTTCCTAGTGACAGATAGAAGCTATGACCCCATTTCCAGAGATTAGATCAATCTACTTTAGATCAATCTAACTCCTTGGGGGTTCACGCTAAATAGCTGTCAGCCGGGCGGACACGAAAGTTGATTACCCCCTTACAGCTTGTACTAGGCAGGACAGACATTTAAGCTGGATTATCTGACAGTTATCTAGTGAGACTCCCTGCGGGGATAGATCGATCTAAAAGCTCTGGGAATACAGCCTATGTGAATGGTAGGGGATTGCTGCATAACAATGCTGCATTGATATACATGTATCTGTAGATAGTTGACAAGAACATTGATAAATGCACTTGCTTGCCTGATTGTGTGTGGATTTTTGAAGTTCACTTTGTAAATGCTAACTACATATTGACATTTTGTCAAATTGAATTTTTGTGTCTGCTCAGGCCTATAGACTCAAACATAATATTTTTCAAATAAGTAAGACAGGTGTGATAAATATATTTTGACAATCAGCAGGCATCCACAAATGAGTGTACAAACATCATCCCTGTTCCCATCAGATTCAACTTAAATCAAAGGGTGCATTCCCAGAGATTTAGATCGATCCAGAGATTGAGATTTAGATCAACCTAACTCCCTGGGGGTTCACGCTAAATTGCAGTCAGCTGAGCACGCACCATAGTTTATTACCCCCTTACAGCTTTTAGTAGGACAGACGCTTAAGCTGGCTAAGCTGACAGTAATCTAGTGAGACTCCCCACAGGGATAGATCAATCTAAAATCTATGGGAATGGGGTCAAAGTTTCTGCTGGGTTGGGAGGTTATGTAACATAGAGGAATCGCAAAGGTTCTAAACCTCAGATTTTTTAAATCCAGATTTTGTCATTCATGATATGATACATGTGTGTGTATTCATTGACTGGCCTCCCAGATGCACATCTTTTCATGCTGTAAGATCAGTTGCACATCATGGTATCACAAGGCCTGTCACATCTATATTTTTACCTACTCTCTCTCTATATACTAATATGTATTAATGTGATATTTTAATCAGCTTTCATTATGTAACATTTATCTAAGAGAGTCTTCATGTTGGAGTGAAAGCATTTTCTCCAGGATTTACCAGAGAAACAGCCCTTTCAAGCCTTTGAAATTTAACAAGATGAGATCAGTGCTTATGTGTGTAACACATGCTATTTGTATTTTGTGTGAAATGATAAAATTTTACAAATATTATTGGCAGCTTTTGTGGGCTTATGTGCAGAATTATGTATAGACTTGAATTAGCTCATGTTTAAAACACTATTACCAGTGCAAAACAAAGTAAAGGAATGTTTTTTTTTTCCAAAACAGAATGGCAGATTTAACTTCATTCACTCCAAATAATAGGTAAGAATCATTCTAAGGCAGGCAGAAGTGCTGCAAAATTTGTCTTTGTGTTCATAGCTTTTCAAGATTCTTTGGAAGTGGGGATGGAAATGGAGGTGTCATACACCTACTTCATCATTTGTGTATTACAGGTACAGTGCATATATATCAGAGTTGAACTTCAGTATCAGTGGAAGAATGAGGGATCAGCAATAACCAACAACAAGATTTTCTGTTGCCACCGACTTTATTCTATCTCTCTCCCTGTCCCTCTGTCCCTCTGTGAGGATGCAGGGGATTATATACACAAATATCAAAGACATTCCTATGATCAAAGAGATACATTTAAGATAACTGTAAGGGCGACAACATGTCCCTTCAACTTGTGCCCAGCCAGTGTAATGGACCTGTATTTCAAGTTAAATGCTAAATATTTGTCATGGCAGGTCATTTCTGACCCTGCCCTGTAATTATCAAAATGATGCTGGAGATGTGTGTGGTAGGTCATCTCTGACTCTGTGTGCCACGGCAGGTCCTTTCTGACCCTGCCCTGTAATTACCAAAATTCACCAAAAATCACTAAATTTAACATGAAACATCTTCCTGGCCCAATAAAATTTGTGCCTCAAATTTTGTTCACAATGTAATGACAAACAGAAATATTGTCTTATAATAGGACTACCATAATCGTAAGATATACACGAGTGCAAGCTATTATGCTGGCAATTATTATAGCCATAAGCAACAAAGTTTAACATTAGCATGCCTTTTCATAGTAATAATGATAATAATGCTGAAGTCTCCCTATAATAGTCTATGTCTACAAATAATTAATGCTATTGAGCATAAAAAGATATTCTTTTAACTACCAGTAAATATGGTACATCTCTTAATTCACTGTAACAATCAAATTTGATTGCCTTAACATTACACAGACAGATACAGTATATAATATATAATCCTGTGTTTACACATTTAAGAGATACATGTGTAGCATTGCTTGACAACCTAAAGTTATCATTACCATTACATTATCAATACCCTCCACCATCAAATCAACAATTGGTTTGTTTCATATTTGTCAATTAATTATTATAACTTTTTCTATGTGGTTACATAATTTCCAGAATCAATTCTGATTTTCTCATTAATATCATATTGAAAGTCATTATTTTATTATATCATGATGGAACATTAATATAATTCATGTATACTGTCAGTACATTCAAATATACATCTTATATTTCACATGATAAATGTTATCATAATCCATTACATTATCAATACCCTCCACCATCAAATCAAAGATTTTTGCTAAATATTTGTCATTGCTACATCAATTAATTATCATAACTTTTTCAATGTGGTTACATAATTTCGATAATCAATACTGATCGTCTCATTAATATCAAATTAAAATTATTTTCTTATATAATGATAGCTCATTAATATAATTCATGTATACTGTCAGTACACGCTCAAGTATACAACACAAATCACTGTGGATCACACATAATCACACTCACACTCCGTAGAAGTGGACTGTTCATTAAATTGTTTTACCCTTTATAGCGTAATAAGGTCAAATTGGTATTCACAGGAGGTACATTAAACGTTCATGATGCAACACTACAAGATGCGCATCAAATGGCTGATCAATTATTGACATGATAGAAAAATATTGCCACCAGGACAAGGGGACNTTATTATTTTCTTATATTATGATAGCTCATTAATATAATTCATGTATACTGTCAGTACACGCTCAATGATACAACACAAATCACTGTGGATCACACATAATCACACTCACACTCCGTAGAAGTGGACTGTTCATTAAATTGTTTTACCCTTTATAGCGTAATAAGGTCAAATTGGTATTCACAGGAGGTACATTAAACGTTCATGATGCAACACTACAAGATGCGCATCAAATGGCTGATCAATTATTGACATGATAGAAAAATATTGCCACCAGGACAAGGGGACACTGGTAGGCAATGGAATGAAGTGGTTCACCTGTCCTTGAGTCACTTTTATTGTTACATCTCCCCATTCAAGCACTAAATTTGGTCTTAATCCCTTTATTACTATCAGGTTAGCAATAATTTGATTTCCCGTTGCTTTGATATCAAATGGACACTGTTTAAGATGACATAGGTGTATCAACATGCTCTTTTCAGCATTGTTTATTTCTAGTGCTAGGCCATTTTGCTGGTGCCTACCTTTACACAAAATAATTACTCCCAGAATGATAAAAAGAAGAAGTATTGCTGAAAAGTAAACTGCAGGAGCAATTTCATGCGTTAAAATTTTATAGATGTCGAATTCAATTTTGGGTGACGGAGATGGTGAGCTATATTGGTAGATAAAATTGGGAGCAGTGTTTGCCTTGGCATGGGCCATAGTTAACATTGCAGTGCTTAAAACTTTGATTTTATAAGTAAGTGTGGCTGACAGAGCAATTGCTAGGATTGCAACACCCAAAGCTACATACCCAATTATATCATCCAGAGACAGTCCTCCTGTGGGTAATGTTAAGTCACCAGACAAGAGGGGCTCAGTCAGCGACTGAAATATAGTCTCTCCCTTTTTTGCTGCTGTCATTACTTTTCGCAGATTGAGTTTAATGGAGGAATCCTTGGTTAAAAATTGTGAAAAGGTATGATTGTATAGGCGTAACGTGGGGATTGTTACTCTGGGGGGTGTTTGAAAGACGGAATGACCAAAAATATCAGAAAAGTTACCTTCATCAAAAAGTTGCTGTAAAAGTGCCAAATTTATGGGATGAAGAATTTCAGTAGTTTCATTATGTTCACATATTCGACGGGGAGGAATATATGTGGAGTCCCCTTCTATAGAGCAGGAACATGGCACCTTCAAAACACAAAAATCACAACCAACTTTGGTTACATTGGATGAACACCGCATTGTCAAATTTTGAATTCTGTTAATCAGAACCTGATCTTTCCCAACTGGCGTTAAGGTGGAGGAGATGCTATTGGGTAAGAGTTGGAAATCGCAGAGGTCTTTGATGCTGGTTTTATCATTTAGTAGAAGGGCCTTTAAGCAATGAGGTTTTTTGGATACCTTAGTATTTTCCAGTGCACAAAACATGGGGTTTTGTCCAGTGCAAGATTTCAGAAAATCATANCTAAAGTTATCATTATCCATTACATTATCAATACCCTCCACCATCAAATCAGCAATTGCTTTGTTTCATATTTGTCAATTAATTATTATAAGTTTTTCTATGTGGTTACATAATTTCCAGAATCAATTCTGATTTTCTCATTAATATCATATTGAAAGTCATTATTTTATTATATCATGATGGAACATTAATATAATTCATGTATACTGTCAGTACACTCAAATATACATCTTAGAGTTACATGTATAGTTATATTTCACATCATAAAGGTTATCATAATCCATTATATTATCAATACCCTCCACCATCAAATCAAAGATTTTTGCTAAATATTGGTCATTGCTACATCAATTAATTATCATAACTTTTTCAATGTGGTTACATAATTTCGATAATCAATACTGATCATCTCATTAATATCAAATTAAAAATTATTTTCTTATATAATGATAGCTCATTAATATAATTCATGTATACTGTCAGTACACGCTCAAGTATACAACACAAATCACTGTGGATCACACATAATCACACTCACACTCCGTAGAAGTGGACTGTTCATTAAATTGTTTTACCCTTTATAGCGTAATAAGGTCAAATTGGTATTCACAGGAGGTACATTAAACGTTCATGATGCAACACTACAAGATGCGCATCAAATGGCTGATCAATTATTGACATGATAGAAAAATATTGCCACCAGGACAAGGGGACACTGGTAGGCAATGGAATGAAGTGGTTCACCTGTCCTTGAGTCACTTTTATTGTTATATCTCCCCATTCAAGCACTAAATTTGGTCTTAATCCCTTTATTACTATCAGATTAGCAATAATTTGATTTCCCGTTGCTTTGATATCAAATGGACACTGTTTAAGATGACATAGGTGTATCAACATGCTCTTTTCAGCATTGTTTATTTCTAGTGCTAGGCCATTTTGCTGGTGCCTACCTTTACACAAAATAATTACTCCCAGAATGATAAAAAGAAGAAGTATTGCTGAAAAGTAAACTGCAGGAGCAATTTCATGCGTTAAAATTTTATAGATGTCGAATTCAATTTTGGGTGACGGAGATGGTGAGCTAAATTGGTAGATAAAGTTGGGAGCAGTGTTTGCTTTGGCATGGGCCATCGTTAACATTGCAGTGCTTAAAACTTTGATTTTATAAGTAAGTGTGGCTGACAGAGCAATTGCTAGGATTGCAACACCCAAAGCTACATACCCAATTATATCATCCAGAGACAGTCCTCCTGTGGGTAATGTTAAGTCACCAGACAAGAGGGGCTCAGTCAGCGACTGAAATATAGTCTCTCCCTTTTTTGCTGCTGACATTACTTTTCGCAGATTGAGTTTAATGGAGGAATCCTTGGTTAAAAATTGTGAAAAGTTATGATTGTATAGGCGTAACGTGGGGATTGTTACTCTGGGGGGTGTTTGAAAGACGGAATGACCAAAAATATCAGAAAAGTTACCTTCATCAAAAAGTTGCTGTAAAAGTGCTAAATTTATGGGATGAAGAATTTCAGTAGTTTCATTATGTTCACAAATTCGATGGGGAGGAATATATGTGGAGTCCCCTTCTATAGAGCAGGAACATGGCACCTTCAAAACACAAAAATCACAACCAACTTTGGTTACATTGGATGAACACCGCATTGTCAAATTTTGAATTCTGTTAACCAGAACCTGATCTTTCCCAACTGGCGTTAAGGTGGAGGAGATGCTATTGGGTAGGAGTTGGAAATCGCAGAGGTCTTTGATGCTGGTTTTATCATTTAGTAGAAGGGCCTTTAAGCAATGAGGTTTTTTGGATACCTTAGTATTTTCCAGTGCACAAAACATGGGGTTTTGTCCAGTGCAAGATTTCAGAAAATCATAGTTCAGGCTAATGTGGTGGTTCCCAACACTGGCAAAGTATTCAGGAACATTGTGGAGGAGGGTGGCATGCTTACTTGTCGCATTGAGGGGAACTGGTACTGCTTTAACATGAAACACTGTAAATAAATCGTGGGATGCTATGGGAATTTTGATGGTGATTGCTATTGACTGATTTAACTTATGTGTGGCAATTTTGCCATAACGGTAGTAATACTGCAAATTTTGGTTGATAAGTAGTCCTGGAAATTGTTTTTGAAGAGAAGCCTTAATTTTCTTTAAAGTGCTGCTTAGCATATGAGGGGGAAATAGAATTGGTGAAAGCTTTCCATGGGAGACATCATTCATACCTATCATTGTATTTTCGATTTCAAAGGTGAGCTTGTTAGTTATGGTACTTACATGCATTAACTTTGTAAATAACCCAAGTGTAAAATCTATTTCATTCTCAATATACTTTAAATCACCTCCTAACATTATGTTTAACTGGTGATTGTCTTCTATCTGTTTAACCATGTTCATCATGCGTTCATTTTGCCCACTTACAATTGACCCATATTGAGAACTAAACTTGGAAAAGGATGTCAGGGCTTTTTGCTGCCTTGATTGCAATGCATTGATGTGATCAATCACCTTATTAAGTTGGTCTTCCGTTGCCACTCCAAAGAGACTATTCGCCACCTTACCTACAAATGGAAGTGCTGATCTTTTTTGCCTCTTTTCCTCAACATCATCATTGGTAAATATTTCACTTACTCTATGCCGAAGTGCTCTCAATTCACTTCTTGTTTGACTATACAACTTTCTACCTTCATCTACTGCTCTTTCGATTAATTTACATGTTTTCTTATTTAAACGCCCATCGCAATTATACTCTAAGTTAGGCTCAATCGGAACTTCTGGCAAGTACACCAACATCGTGTGTAGCCAATAGTCGTTTACCACTGCCATCGTCCCTTCATTTTTAAAGAAAACACCGTAGTTTATCCGATTTTCAGCACTGGTAAGGGGCAGAATTGCCACAGCCATCCAGATGACAAGCCATAGACTTATGCAATCGTATTGGGGTCCTGAGGAGAAAAATGAGATTATAAGAAGTGGCCTTTACCTATCTTACTTATAGAACCAGCTACAAGAAGATTGCGCATTAGGTACAAAACCGAAGATCAGAAAAGAGTAGGAGAACAGGACTGTACAATAAAAAGGCATAAGGACTAAGCGCTAGACATTTTAGAAAGACTGCCAATTCTATACTGAGGAGTTGCATTACATCTGATCACAATCTATTGACGAGTCACCAGTTTACGCTTTTTCTTCTTTCCTTTCTTTGTCTTATTAGCATGGAATTCCTGAATTAGCAAATCTGGCACTTTATCAGCCCTAACCCAAGTCGATGTTTTTATACCTTTCCACTTTATTCTATATAGCTTTTCTCCTTTGTACCATTCATAACATAATATTTTCTCTACCTCTTTTTCCTGTGGGTTATCTATCTCAACTTCACATGGGACAGGAGTGTCAGGTACATTAGCATCAAATTGTGCTTCTGGTTGGATATTTTCAGTATCATTGATTGGACCATTAACTGGAACATTTTGTGGAGTGATGTCATCAAACTTTGTTCTGATAATGGGGTCTTTGTATGGTTTAAGTCTATTGGCATTAACAGGGGCCTTCACAAGTTTGTTGGTGATACACTCTCTCAGTTGGTATGTGGCATTGCCAAGCACTCTCACTATATAGAAAGGCCCTGCAAATTTTGGAACGAGTTTGGATGTCAAACCTTTTGGGGTTCTTTCATTTCTTAATAAAACTTTGTCCATTTCAGCATATTTTGGATTTGTAGCATTTCGGTTATGATATTTGGCATTTTGCCACTGAGATTCCAGTTTTATTTTTGCTGCCACCTGTCTACCCTTGTTTAGAGAATCTAATCTGTCTGATACATATTTTGCCACATTATGGGGTAGGTCCTTCTTTGGTAGTAATTCAACATCTAAAGGTGTGGTCATTTCCTTTCCAAAAAGAATGAAAAATGGACTATAACCCGTCCCTTCTGTGGGAGAACTTCTATAGGCCATTAACACTGATTCTAAATGATCTGCCCAATCTGACTGATCTTCTCGACATAGGGAACGCAGTGATTGCCATATAAAACTGTTGAACCGTTCACACGTGGCATTTGTTTGGGGATGATACGATGCTGTGTAGTGTCTTTCTACATCAAAAATGTCACAAATGGCTTGTACTAACTTTGATCTAAAATTTTGGCCTCTGTCTGTAATAATTTCAGAAGGCGCACCAAATCTTGTAAAAATATGTTTGTATAAGACATTTGCTATTTCAGTAGCCTCTTGTGATTTAAGGGCAAATGCCTCTGGCCAACGTGAAAAACGATTCTACAGCTAGCAAGATATACTTGTGTCCGGACTTTGTTGGTGTGATTGGACCTAGTATATCCAAATGCCAAGTGCTGAAAACATCTTTTATGGGAAGGGGCTGTAGTAACGACTTTGTATTGTGATAACCTCTTTTGACCTTCTGACAAACACTGCAGGACTTGACATAACGTTTAATGTCCCTTGACATTTTTGGCCAGTAATATTTTAACCTGATTTTTTCTAGGCATCTCCTAAAACCTGGATGGCAAGCGCCTGCCCTGGCATCATGGTACGCTTTCAATACCTTAGCCCTGTATTGTTTTGGCACTGCTAACTGCTCTATCAAGTTTTCATCACCTGCCTTTTGTTTTCTTCTATTTATGTGTTGCCTATACAGGATACCGTTCCTAATTAGGAAAAATTCTTTCAGGTTCTTCTTTTCTGATTGTACACTAGTAGGACTTTGGAGGATTCTGATGATTGAAGCTAGGTCAGGGGAAGCGCTTTGCTTTTGAGCCAAGTCAGTTAGTTCTACCTTATCTGGCCATTTTGTTAGTGGTGTTTTATTGACACTTGCAACTACTACTGGAGGATTTGGTCTGCAGTAATTGAATTTGATGGTATGAAGTTTCTTGTCAATTTTTGATGGGGGTGTCAGGGGATACGTGCCCTTAGCATCATCTATCATGTTGACTTTAGGTTGTGTTAGAGCCATATCATCGTCTGCTTCATCAGTTTGTCTTGATAAACAGTCTACGGGGTTCGTGCTACCTTTCTTGTAATAAATTGAAAACTGTAAGTCTTGAATTTCAAGTGCCCACCTATTCAATTTCTGGTTTCCACTTTGTTTTGATTGCAACCACTCTAGAGGTTTATGGTCAGTAAAGATTGAGAAATGATTGGGTTGAAGGTAAACTCGGTATTCCTTAATTCCCTCAATTAAAGCCAAACATTCTTTTTCTGTAACATTGTAATTTCTTTCTGCAGGACGCAGTGTTCTAGAACCATAAGAGATAGCATGTTCCCTTCCATCTTTGTCAACTTGACTAAGCATATAACCTATCGCAAAGTCTGAGGCATCAGTCGTTAGTTTGAATTCTCTGTTCATGTCGGGGAATGCCAAGATAGGGGCTGTCGCTAAGGTGTTTTTTAGCTTGTCAAATGACTGTTGGCACGTGTCTGTCCAACTAAATGGTTTATCCTTTCGTGTTAATGCATTCAAGGGGGCTGCAATTTTAGCATAATTTTTGACAAAACGACGATAGTAATTACACATACCCAAAAAGCTTTTCACCTGTGTGCGAGTTTTCGGTCTCAAAACTTTTTTGACTGCCTCTACTTTTGACATATCTACTGAAATGCCATCTTTTGAGATGAAATGACCTAAAAAGGCTATTCGTTTAGTAGCAAATTTGCATTTTTTTGTTTTCACTTTGAGATTGGTTTCTTGTAACCGTTTGAAAACTAATTCCAAATGTTGGAGATGTTCCTCAAAATTTTTTGAAAAGATCAAAATGTCATCAATGTAACACAACACCATTTTCCAATTTAAATCTTTTAGCACACGGGCCATTGTGTTTTGGTAGTGCGCCGACGCGTTACGAAGGCCAAACGCAAGTCTTTTAAACTGAAAATGACCATGGTGGGTCACAAAAGCTGTTTTATGTCTGGTAGTCTCTTCTAGGGGAAGTTGCCAAAAGCCCGAGAATAAATCTAAAGAACTGTACACCCTGGCATTAGAGTCAGCAAGTATGTCGAGTACGTCAGTCAGTCGAGGCAAGGGAAAGTGGATGGGCGTGGTCACTTTATTTAAACGTCTATAGTCTATAGCAAAACGCATAGATCCGTCTTTTTTGCGAACCAAAACCACTGGGCTTGCCCACTCACTATTTGACTCCTCAATGATATCATTTCTAAGCATCTCATCTGTTTGTCTTTCTATCTCAGTCTTTTGGTCAGTTGTCTGTCTATAATGTCTTTGTCTTTGGGGCGGGGCGTTACCTGTCTCTATCACATGTCCTTTCACTTTTGCCTCTCCCATTTCTGATAAATCTGATGCAAATATATCCCTGTATTTCCCTATTAATATTAATAGTTCACCTTTCTGTTCTTCTGTCAGGTCAGTTTCATCTAAAGATAAGCCCGTTTCTTTAGCTAACTTCAGGAAATGTGAGTTATCTATGGACTCTGCCTCTGTTGTCCCAATAAAGTGTTCCCGTTTTAAGCATGAGCTAATGTTAGCTGGACCCTCCTCACCCATGGGTAGAATACAGTTTGTCTCTACAGGGTATGCTTTGGCCAAGACAGTGTCATTTGGAATGGTTATTGATTTGTCAGTGGGATTGTATATTCTGCACATGCTCCGATTCTTATCTATAACACACCTAGCCACCAAATAGTGGTTATCGACAGGATCTAACAGTAGACTTTTAGCATTGGTCTTATTTGCTCCAGATATTTTTACAGGTATTAAGCTTTCAGTTCTGGGACCAACAGTTATTTTGTGATTGGTACGCACCAGGCCTACATAATTTGGTTTATTTGTGTGACAGAACTTCTTATCATTAAATGACAGGATGCTATTTTTCATGTCAAAGGTAGCTCCATTTGCCTTTAGGAAATCAATGCCCAAAATAACATTTCTGGGAAGGTTTTGCAAAATGTAAAATTTATGAGTGAAGGAGTTTTTGCCTATGACAAAGTCAATTAAAGCACAACCAATAATTTTATGGGATTCTCCGCCTACTCCTGAGATTGTTAACAGGTCTGATTTTAAAAACTTAACTGTTGATTGTTTTTCATGTTTTAGTTCTCTCATGATGTTATCGGAAATGCAAGATATTGATGCACCTGTGTCAATCATGGCCTTAACTGTCAGGGTATTAAAATGGATTTTAATCAAATTGTGTTCTATAGGGTCCCCTCCCATGACATTTCCTAGAAAACAACTCTCCTGTAAATTTTTCAATTTTTCCTTATTACGCAGACACCCCTATTGTTTTATGGTTCTGCAAACCACAGCCAAATGACCAATACGCTCACAGTTGTAGCATTTCATGTTACGGGCAAAACAATTTAATTCCGTATGAAAAGTCCACTTACCACAACGTGAACACTTTCTCTCCTTTTCCTCTCTTCTCTCCTTCCTCCATTCACCCCTTCTTTCTGCACTCCTTTCACGCATCCTCTCCTTGCTGCTATCTCTAGATCGATCTGCTGGCTGGAATGATACTTTTCTGTTACTTCTCTCTGTTGAGACTACCTGTACACTGGGCCCTTCCAAAACTCTATTTATCAATTGTGTTATTTGGCCCATCATGTTTTCTTGCATTGTGACAAATTTGTTAAGTATTAAATGATTGTTGTCATGCTCTTTCAGGTCTGTAGACAGGGGTGCCACGGTAAGATCTGGAGACACATTAGTGGTAGCAGTTTCAGCCAAAATAGCTGCTTCTTCTAATTGTCTCAAATTTTGAGGGTTCTGCATGGTTACAGCTGCCCTTATTGTAGGTTTAAGGCCATTAATGATGGCTGCCAAAATGTGTTGCTCAGGCAATTTTACCTGATGTCCCATTTTCATCATTTTAGAAATGAAGTCTCTTACCTTTTCTTCGCCCTGTCTACTGGAAAATATAGATGCAGTCATGGATCTGATTTTGCTTGGACTAGGTCCATATCTTTCTAAAAATGACTTTTTTACTCTTTGATAAAAGTTTTGTTCTGCAAACTTAGGTACCATGTTTTGGCATTTCCTTGTAATAAATAACTAAAATGCGAAAGTCTCATATTGTCATTGTATTGCATAATATCACAATATTGATCAAATTGATAAACCCAATCTGATGCACAGTCCCCATCCTCTCCCCTAAAAGGGAAGGGAGATAGATGTTGTGGCATCGTGATTACCACTGGAATCCCTTGATTTTGCTGAGCTGCCACTGGACTCCCTTGATTTTGTTGAGCTGCACTGGGGGGCATAGGTGGCGGTGGTGGTGGTGGTGGCATCTCTATCATTGCTTGGGACTGCTCCTGTTGCTGCCCTGGGGATCTTATCAGAGAGTTGGTCTGCTGGGCTTGTTGTTGTCTCTCAATCTGGTCCAGAGGCTGCAGCTCCTGTTGTTGCTGAGGACCAGGCTCATGTTGCTCTGAGGGTTGTGGTTGTTGCCCATCTAATTCAGGGGTATGCTGACTCGAGGCCTGCTGTTCTGTTGCTGCTTGCTGCTGGTTGGAAGTTCTGGGGGATGCCCGTCTCATTTTTGTTGCCCAGGTTCTCCACCAGTATCAGAGTTGAACTTCAGTATCAGTGGAAGAATGAGGGATCAGCAATAACCAACAACAAGATTTTCTGTTGCCACCGACTTTATTCTATCTCTCTCCCTGTCCCTCTGTCCCTCTGTGAGGATGCAGGGGATTATATACACAAATATCAAAGACATTCCTATGATCAAAGAGATACATTTAAGATAACTGTAAGGGCGACAACATGTCCCTTCAACTTGTGCCCAGCCAGTGTAATGGACCTGTATTTCAAGTTAAATGCTAAATATTTGTCATGGCAGGTCATTTCTGACCCTGCCCTGTAATTATCAAAATGATGCTGGAGATGTGTGTGGTAGGTCATCTCTGACTCTGTGTGCCACGGCAGGTCCTTTCTGACCCTGCCCTGTAATTACCAAAATTCACCAAAAATCACTAAATTTAACATGAAATATATACAAACACTTATCGTTTATAGATCTTGATGTTTTTCAATTTTAGGCATGTATACTGGTATAATGGATTCATGATCTGACTACAGATTTTTTCCGCAACTTTGCAATGCTGGAACACCGATCTTATGCCCAGTTATTTGTAATTTGAAATGTGGATAGAATTGGTGTTGACTGAAATCACCTCAGTGGGTTATATAAATGTGGTAAGAAATTTGTCTGAGCTGCTTACAGCAATGCTGTTATGTGTGAGCGTTTGTCTCAGCGTAACGTATGTGTAGTGAATGTGTAGTTTATATATGTAAATGTTATGTTGGACTTCAGACTGTAAGAAAATGGTGCTGCTGTAATGTCATGTTTTATTTTACTTATTCATTTATTATTTTATTTACTTTAAAAAAGAAGATAAAAACTTTTGTCAAACGAACATGCATTTGTCACAATTTTCTTCACTACATGGTTTCAAAAGAAAATTCCTTATTTACAGTAGGCTGCACACCTCCGGCATAAATTTTGGGACCAGAAAATTTCTCCTCTTGTGACGCAGATTAGCTGGGCAGTTTTGTAATCATATTAAATTTCAATAAAGAACCAAAGGAAGAAAAAAAACCTTTCCGGGGCATTGCAGTGGCATATTTAGGGGGGTGTCAGGGGGTCCTGACCCCACCCCCTTCAATTTCTGAAAAAAAAAAACACGCCAACGGTCCACTCTTGAAATTAGAATTTTGACTAGCTGAATCATAGTTCTAACACACAATCATTCAAATCTTTAAAAATCCAGTCAAAATTACAAAAACTCGGAAAACATGTACCAGTACGAGTAGTACAAAACCTGCAAAGCTGATTTCACGTTGACACTAAACTTGGCTCCAGTACAGAAGGCCTACCGAGGGGATAATAGTTCAAATGAAAAGCTTGGTATAAATCCCCTGGGAATATAAATTAATGCGGTTCCATATGATGATGGAAGCAAACGGCTATGAATTCAGGCAGAAAGGTTTATAAACGACTGTATTTATCAATGAAAAACCGGGGCCGTAGCGATAGTCCGAAGGTTCAATAGTCCGAAGGTTCATTGGTCCGAATGTTCACTATAGAACCTTCGGACCAATGAACCCTTGATTAAAAAATCGACGAAAATGTTACCACTTTTCGGACCAATGAACCTTCGGACCAATGAACCTTCGGACTATCGAGACGCCCCCGAAAAACCAGTGCATTTAGTATCAGTAATTCCAAACTGAATAGCCAGGAGATACCAATAATCCTGTAATTGCTCCCTTTAGTGGCTAACTACGATGAATAAGAGAGAGCCGATAAGTCCGCTTTCGTTATGTCAAAATAAATTCCGTCATTGACACAGGATGTTGTTTCCCGCGAAAATGACTTAACGCGGGAAAACGCATGCGCCCTGTAGAGTAACTGTTCGCGCCTTTTAGGTCATGTGATCAGTTTATTGACATAAGCCAAAGCCCTTTAAAGCAATCCGGCAATCTNCCGACTTTATTCTATCTCTCTCCCTGTCCCTCTGTCCCACTGTGAGGATGCAGGGGATTATATACACAAATATCAAAGACATTCCTATGATCAAAGAGATACATTTAAGATAACTGCAAGGGCGACAACATGTCCCTTCAACTTGTGCCCAGCCAGTGTTACGGACCTGTATTTCAAGTTAAATGCTAAATATTTGTCATGGCAGGTCATTTCTGACCCTGCCCTGTAATTATCAAAATGATGCTGGAGATGTGTGTGGTAGGTCATCTCTGACTCTGTGTGTCACGGCAGGTCATTTCTGACCCTGCCCTGTAATTACCAAAATTCACCAAAAATCACTAAATTTAACATGAAACTAACTTTAAGTTTAGCCCTTTTTCATGGTGTGTACCATTTTGTTGCCTTGTTTTTACCTCAGAAACATGCTTTGATGAAAGACACGTGGCATTTCTTACCAGTATCCTGCATTTAAAGATGTAAACAATTTTTTTAACCACATTTAGAACTTTTCCTGTTGCTGGTTCTTTTTTAAGAAGGCAAAACATGTTCAACGTAAGGCACCTAACAATAACTGACTGTGTCTTCTCTTTTGTAAAATTGTTAAAATGGATTTGGACCATAAAACACATGAAACCAAAACAAACAGTTGAAAAAGGCATGCTGTGGAGGTGTCCATTTCACTGGCACAGAGCTGGAGACACAATAGAACTGATCAGAAACAACCACAGCATTTATTACAAAGCTTCATGTATCCTCATTTTAGGGGAAAGTAGAGCCCCTTTTGCATCCAGTATTAGAGCGCATTCAGAGCAAGTTGATCTGCAGACTAAATATCACTGATCCACATAAAAGTGATGCTGCTAATTTCCTGATGGTCTCCTTGTCTCCACATGCTCCGTCGCTGCAAAAACCTACGAATTAAAACTTGTAGCTGAGATTTAATCCGTTTAATGGCACATGCATGTGGAGGTGGGGAGACCATCAGGAGATTAGGGCAGCATTTTTTTAGTGGGGTCAGCCATATTTAATCGACGGATCAGTCCATGTTAGCATGCTGTACTCGGAAGCAAGAGGTTCCAGGTCCAATCCCCAGTATAGAGCCCTTTTCAAAAAAAAAAAAAAGAAAGAAAGAAAGAAAACTGGACCCGTTTGAGAGATCCTGATATGTTAAAACACTACAGGGGGTTTTACTCACTAAGACCCCATTCCCAGAGATTAGATCGATCCAACTAGATCGACCTAACTCCCTGGGGGTTCACGCTAAATAGCTGTCAGTCGAGCGGGCACAAAAGTTAATTACCCCCTTACAGCTTGTAGTAGGCGGGATGGACATTTAAGCCGGATTATCTGACAGTAATCTAGTGAGACTCCCCACTGGGATAGATCGATCTAAAATCTATGGGAATGCGCCCTTACATACGTTTGCTTCCCCAGGTGTTTAGCCACACATACATTTATCACTGGGCATCTTTAATAGAAGGCTGAAGTTTTATTAAAACTACATCAATGAGTCGGTCATGTGATAAAGATCTTTTCATAAAGGGTGGAGACATGATGACCCATTGGTAAAAATTTTTGAAATTTATTTTCTTAGAAACAGTTTATTTTATTATCATTACTACACAAAACACAATTAAAACCTATTTCATCATAAATTTGAACATTTTCTTTTTTACAGTTTAGTATATTTATAATTTATTTGCTTTTTTGTTCAGAAAATGCCTACATAACATATTATCAGTCTAACTTCATACACCAACAAGTGGTACCCTATGATCATCTGGAAATGTCTTTTTATTGTGATTGATATCTTTTTGTTTTCACACCATAGTTGGGACAGCATAATTAAATTTAACACCAAATGAAAGCAATGTATCTATGATCTCACGTTTTAATTTTCTGTGTAACTTTGCCATAACACGGGAAGCATCTGATGCCTACATATGCTATGCCTGGATCTGATGATGATGATTCTTGTTTTATTTTTCCTAGGCACTGGATGCATCGGTGGATTCACTTATCTGGCAGCTTAACCTGCTCTAAGTATGTTCAATCACCAGGATGATGCAATGATAAACAATTTATTCTTGAAAATCACCACAGACAGTTCAGCGTGAGTGCATTTCATTATCCAATAATGTCTGTGTCAGATTGATAAAGCACTGACAGAGAGATGTCGAGCCTTTAGTTTGTTTTTGCATCGTGATATGGCTGTCGGAGATCTTGAAGTAGCCAGATTTTTGGTGCAAAATCTATCTTTGCCTTCAGAGTCCTGGATGTGGCCTCCATTCTATATTTGTGTGCATTTACCAGCTTCAGGTCACCTTCTGTTTAGATGAACCTAAGTATAGAAACACTGAGTGGAAGTGAATGAAAGCAAACCCTTTTAACTTGTGCGTTTGCTGAAGGATATTATTTAAACCTAGTAGTTTTTTAAATTTTTTTTTCTCTGTACATGCACCACACGTGTGTGAGGGTTCGTTCCCAATGCAAGTATTGCTCTATGTACATCCATTCAACTCCCCAGGGTGCTGAATGCAATCAGATTAACAGATTAACGTCTCTTCCTGGCATTGAGTAGAATACAAAAAAAAAAAAAAAAAGCGAAACAATAGGAGGCATGATAATCTGTTCATCTGATTGCATTCAACAAGTCCCCATGGCATTGAATCGATCTATGTGGAATGATAATTTCATTGCGAATGAGCCCTTAGTAACCACTGTAGCTAGTGTGTATGGGCCCCTGTGTACCCCTGATCCCACCCACTGAGTCCTGTGTTCTAAGTTAAAGAGGGCAAGATGCTGGATACCATTTTTGTTGTTTTATCTTTTTTTTTTCTGTGACTGTTTTTGTCCTTAACACGTCTGCACAAAATTTCAGACAAAACAAATACCATATTGTGAAAAAACTAATTTGTTGGAATAAGAATACAATAGAATTACATTTACTTTAGAACAATGTTTAGGATAAACTTAGTGGCAGTGTGTAACAGTATGAGGTACTTTCTGCTGATCTAATTATCTAAAAAACAAAATATGAACTCCCAGGTGCTGAGTGCCTTTATGATGCAGTCTACGCACTTCATTAGATTTACTTTACACTTATATATTATTATTTTAATACTTTGTCACTCTGAAAATATTTGAATTTATTATTTGGTCACAGATTCTTACAAAAGATAAATTTTATCAGTAAAGACTAAACATTATGACAGGGGCATATCCAGTGATATTTTCTTCCAAATTATCTTTGCTGATCCATCCTCCTTTTTTGACCGTCTTCCAATAGAAAAAATTAGATACACATCAATGTAAAGTTGAAAATCTAACCATCTTCTGGAAGACCCAGAAAATGGCCATTACTCTGTAATGTGTGTTTTACAAAACAAATAGTTGGGGCAGAAGAAAATGATTGCATCTCAAAATGTGTTTGGATGAGATCATTGTGGTAGTTGAGATGTGATGCCACAGCAGCAATCCAGAACATCTGCCCTGTGCTGGACCTTTTTTTTTTTTCATTTCAAAAGTAAAAGCACATTCATCACTATCTGGGCTTTAACTAGAACCTTTAATAATAATTACAATTAATATAGATATAAGTTGGTGTGATGCTGAATAATTACAGATTATATGTTGAAGATGGGCAGTGTTCAAGTGAGCCAGATGTGTACATCAACCAAAGAGGCCATAACCACTTTGCTTAGCAAAGTGAGTCTCTCCCAAGGTGCTGAGAACTTATGAATTTTTAAAGCTTCAAAAACTATATACTAATATTCTAAAAATTACTTTTAATACCTTTTTTCTCCCATAAAATAGCGTTATTGCAGCTTAAAGCACCCCTTCATTAATAGAAGATCAAGGCATATAAAAGACTTTGTGAAAATCAAAACATTTCAGCTTGATGCTTCTTACAAGATGACAGTGAATGTAATGTTTGATTATTTCAGATTGTGTTCCTGATATGAGCAGTTGCAAATGTAGCCAGAAGTAAGATAAATACTGACAACCTACACCATGTAGTCAAAGTTGGCGGATTGATTCTCCC